CTATCTATATATCTATCTATCTATCTATCTATCTATCTATCTATCTCACCTAAGTTTATTAATTTTAGAGAGAAAGAGTAGGGACAGGGAGAGGAAGAGAGAAATATCGATGTGAGAAGCATTGATCAGTTAGTTACCTCTCGCATACATCTTGATCAGGATCAAACCTTCAACCCTTCGGTGCATGGGATTCCAACCAACTAAGCTACTTACACCAGGGCTATTTATTTTTTAATATCAAGAGATACACAAAGTTGCAAATTCAATAGAAGCTTTGATTCAGAATTTCTAACAGTATCAGCTCAGATTTTAAAAATATATATATTTTATTGATATTTTACAGAGAGGAAGGGAGAGAGATAGAGAACTAGAAATGTTGATGAGAGAGAAACATCGACCAGCTGCCTCTTGCACACCCCCTACCGGGGATGTGCCCGCAACCAAGGTACATGCCCTTGACCGGAATCAAACCCGGGACCTTTCAGTCTGCAGACCAACGCTCTACCACTGAGCCAAACCGGTTTTGGCTCAGCTCAGATTTTTAAAAATTTGAATAATCCATGGCTCTAAATGACTTTAAATTTTATTCTAAAATCCATAGGGGACTGAAAGAATTAACAAATAATGGTTCATATTAATAACACTACCTTATCCAGAAAACACAGTTTCTAAATTCCAAGTTTACCAGGCTTGGCAGTATTGGGAAGTGGAGGGTTGGGAGGTGTCTTCTAGTCAGTCCATTACTATGTGTGTTCCTAACTTATTTCAGAAAAATGTGTTCTCCTGATTCCCAAGCAACCAAAAGGATTTCTAAGCTAAAGAACCTGTAACCTATACCCATACAGGGTTGGGCAAGAGTAGATTTATAGTTATGAGTATGCACAAGTTTATTTTTGTATTATTGTTTATTAATTATATTATTTTCCATACAAACTACTGTAAACCTACTTTTGCACCATCCTGTATATACATAATACTTATCTTCTTTATCATATAAACTGAACATTAAAAAATTCTAAAATAAATTTATTACTCAGCTAAATATTGCCTAAAGACTGTTATTGACCTTATACTATACTATAGAGCTTAAAAACAGTAGTACAGTGAAGTACAAGAGCTGATGATTACTCTGTGTATACATGTGTCAATATATGTGAGTACATGCAAAACTGAGCATTTGACATTTGGCTTATATTTGAATTTTCAGGCTATTGCAGGTAGTCTTGTGATGGTATATTCATGAGTGATGTATTCATATTTAATTAAACAAAAACAGCCTCATGCTAGTGAGCAAAAATAAAATCATAGCCAAAAATCCCAACAGAGCTAGCTGATCAATACAGCATAGCAGTGAGAAAAACATTCTATCTCAATGACAGAACAAACCCATGATGAGACATGCTATTAAAATGTTTTGTTATTTGTAGATACTTTTTTGTCATTCTTAATCTTCTTAAACTTTTCTGTTATCTATTTCCATATTGAATGACATCTTATTTTCACTCACGGCTCTTGGGTAACTGAGGTTTCTTTGGTTAGTGTTTTAGTTCACTAAGTATTTTTGTGTTTCTTTCCCACAAATGGAAATCAGACAACAGTGACTTTCTGACACCTGAGTTACCTGGGGTTAGAGAGTGGATATCTAGCAGAATGGTAATCCTTTTGAAGTCTATCTTCACAAGATGAATGACAAAATAAATCTTAATTATTTAAAAAAAATATATATATATTTTATTGATTTTCCACTGAGAGGAAGGGAGAGGGATAGAGAACTAGAAACATCGATGAGAGAAACATTGACCAGCTGTCTCCTACACACCCCTACCTACCAGGGATGTGCCTGCAACCAATGTACATGCCCCTGACCGGAATCGAACCTGGGACCTTTCAGTCCGCAGGCCAACGCTCTATCCACTGAGCCAAACTGGTTTCAGCAAATCTTAATTATTTTTAATGTCATACTTGTCACACTAAAAATAGTATACTATTAATAGTATTTTTTTTGTTTGTTAATCCTCACCCGAGGATATTTTTCCAGTGATTTTTAGAGAGAGTGGAAGGGAGGGGGAGAGACACAGAGAGAGAAACATTGATGTAGAGAGAGACATAACAATTGATTGCCTTCCACACATGCCTTGGGACCCTTCAGCCTGCGGCTGACACTATCCACTGAGCCAAACCAGCTAGGGCACTTTTGTATTATTTTTAATGTAAAGATAGACAGATCAGATGTTTCTGTCAATATATTAAATTATTTGTGTTTCTTTGCCTATAAGTCATAGAATTGTATAATTTGAATGATTTAATAAAATAAAGCATGTGCTTTCTCAAGAACTCCTTTACAATTTCTCAGTTCTTTTAAGCCTTTCTTTATGGTAAGGCAGTGTGAGGCTAAGACTAGGCTTAGGAAACTTCTAGGTAATATTCCTCTTGAAATAACAGGAAGAAATAACTCAAGATTTTAAGTTATATAATATTTTGAATATTAAGATTTTAATTCACACAAAGCTATTAATTATCCTATCTTTTTACCTGAAATGCTCAACTAAGTTCTAATTAATATTACAACTGACTCAAAATATCACCAAGAATCTATTGCATACTAGTGGCCTGGTGCACAAAACTCATGCACATTAAAGGGGGATTAATTAGAAATATTTTAATATTGCTATTTGCCCTTTCTCTATAATATAAGTGTCAGAGATGAAAGAAAATTAGTAAAATGTATATGAAAATATTTCTCCTGTCAGAGCCTGGGATGAATCACAAGACCCAGAGTCAAGTCCCGACCCACATATGGCTCCTAAAAATCATGTGAGACCCAGACCCTGCTGGCCCCACCCCCATCAGGCAAGAGGGCAAGATCCGACCCGGCTGGCCCTACCCTTATCAAGCCCTGCCGGACAAAGTGGGGGGAGGGGCGGCAGAAGTGGGGGGACGTGCAATCTCAGTTCCCCCATCCAACCTTGCTGGGTGGGGGGCACAACCTCAGGTCCCCCAGCGTTAGGGTGGGAAGCACGGCCTGAGGTCACCAGATCCAGGGCAGGGGAAGCAGTCTAAGGTCCCCCGACCCATCATTGGGGCCAGGGCACACCTTGAGATCCCCCATCAATCCACACCGGGCAGGGGGCATGGCTTGAGGTCCCCTGTCAGGCCCTGCCAGGTAGGGGGTGTGGCGCCACACAGCGCCACACAGCCTCAGGTCCCTGCTGATAGCTCGTTAAGGCTCCTTACAGGAACTCAGCCTCCACTGTGGGTGCAGCCATCTTGTGTTACAGAAACCTTACCTCTACTGTGGCCACTGCCATCTTTTGTGATGGTGTGACTGTCAATTTGCATATTCCCTCTTTATTAGATAGGATGATCCAGCTGACTAACCTATTATATACTGTATATAACAGCTTAAACAGATGTCATAATATGGCAACCAGAAATTAGATTCCCCATTATTTTTTTAAAACCAGGTCATTGTAAATCTCTTTTTTCCTAAATTGGAATGTTAGGTTTCTTTGTCCTTCTCACAGAGCACATGAAAAATTTTCTTTGATAGAAATTAATTAAGTCAAGAACATCGTTTCTAATATGAAATGCAATTTTCCCAAACACCAAGCTTTCTTTTCAAAATATAAGACAACAGGTCACAGTCCCTAAATGTCAAGTCCAAAGGCTAAACAAAGGCCCTCAAAATACAATCTCAGGATCTATAGTATTTAACTATCTTAGAAGCTGATGTCGCTAAATATTTCAGTGTGGATGATCAAGTGAGAAAAGACAGACCTTTGGCTCAATAAACTTTGAGAATAAAAATGAACTCCTTTAGATATATTACCACTACTTAAAAGCGATCACATTTACTGTTGTCCTTATGTGAAATAAATGGAAGTATTTTCCAACTTTTTTTCCTTCAAAGTAAATTTACTTGACCTTAGGTTCTCATCCCTCCTCAATTCACATGTGAAACTAATGCCTGCTTGAGCTCAAAAATACACTTTTAAGTTTATTTAGACCTAGTGGACCTAGACCAGTGGTCGGCAAACTGCGGCTTGTGAGTGAGCCACATGTGGCTCTTTGGCTCCTTGAGTGTGGCTCTTCCACAAAATATCACATGCAGGCATGTACGTACAGTGCGATTGAAACTTTGTGGCCCCTGCGCAGAAGTCGGTTTTCGGCTCTCAAAAGAAATTTCAATATTTGGCTCTGTTGACTAATGAGTTTGCCGGCCACTGACCTAGACAATTACCTCAAACCTTAAAGTAGAATGTTTAAGTAATTACATTTTAAAGATGCTCACCACACTTTTTAAATTTAAATCTAAATATTTAATCTAGAAATTTAAATTTAGAAACATATACTCTCTTCTGGTACTTGACTTTCTGATTTAATGCCTTTTCTAATTTTTTCAAATGAAGAACTGTTCATATCTTTGATCTTATTACACAGTTGTTTCTCTTAATGGCTGATTTTTTTAATAAGGCATTCTTACAAACAACTGTATTCTTGGTGTGTTGATATAATCACATAACTACATGTTATAGTTATAGTCATTATGTACTGTAGTCACACCTCATACCCTAAACCAAAACCCTTCCACTGGTGGTCCTTCTGCTTTGGGATTTTAAATGACAATAAAAGCAATCACCAAAAAAGTCTTGGGTATGATTATAGAACAACAAATAAAATAAAAAGATAACATTAAAAGGCAGTTGAAAACCAGTAAAAAGAAGGGCCCTAAAACAAGGGATCCATGAAAGTGTTTCCATGACACCTGTTTAGTTTATTAAATAAATAAATAAATAAATAAATAAATAAATAAATAGATAGATAGATAGATAGATAGATAGATAGATAAGGCTTCCTGCTTTGGTAGAACCTGTTTTGATATTGTGAAAATTAAAACATCACATATATGTGCCAAGATTCTAAATAATGCCAGGAATACCCAGACTCTAAGACCTTTGAGGCCATGAGAAGACAAGTGGTCAGTGGGGCTGAATGCTTACCTTGATCGAGCTTCAGTAGGGAGTGGCGAGTCAACAGAGTGGCTTGGGGAGGCTGGCTGCCCAGGTGAAGAGAGGGGCATGCTGTGCATTTGCTTTGGGGACTTTGGCACATCACTGAAGGAGCAGTCTTGCCCGCAAAACTGGAAGGATGAGGAACTCTCAACTGTGGGAGGCAGGTCCAGGGCCTGCTGCCCAGAAGCATTCAGCTCTTGACCTCTTCTTTGGTTTTCCATGTTTAGCAGCACCTCTGTGTTGGAAACCCCATCCCTGGCATGGAGGGCATAGTCCTGGGATTCAGCCATGCAGGTTTTGAGCCTTGGGATCTCAGTGCTGGAGTACAGAGAACCAAAATCTTTGCTTGACTCAGCCGGCCTGTCACTTTTTCCTCCTCTTTTCTCAACAGCATTTGGCTCCCTCCTGGACTTGGTATATCGAGACAAAGATTCGGAGTCTGCTTCAGAATCCAGAGCTAGCCCATATTTTTCTGCCAGTTGCCGTCTCCTTTCCGCTTTGTATCTTGCAATCCTTTCAGCTTTGGACTCAAGGCTCTGGGTGTCCATACCTGAACTATAGGATGAGTCACCACGGACACCTGAGGTTTCTGTGCAGTGTTTAGGTTGAGTCTGCTTTTCTAAAGAAGAATCAGAAGTTTCTTCCTCTTCATTTGATCGGCCTACAAGATCACATGAATAATAAACATAAATTTAAGTAAAGATATATTTACTATACTCTGTTATGTACATAATACATACTTGAGCACACTGGCTCTGAAGGACCATTTAGCTCATACAAATGTATCAGCTAAATGGTTACCTGGCATGTTGGAGGTTTGAGATCTGCAGTGAAATACATAAAGACTGGGAATGTTCTATGGGCTCTGCAAGTCATGTAAAGCAAGGGCTAAACTAACGCTCAGTCCCTCATTCCTGAGAGTCCAGGGCTTATATCCTCTTACTAATATACTATTATTTATTTATTTATTTTACTGCTTCTTATTTCTGAGTTTAATATTTTATGTGTGAGACCAGAGGATGAGTTCAGAGCTCTCTAGAAAAAGATGATATTTGAACTGTTATAATCTAACAAGTGAGGGATTGTGATTTCATAGGATCTGAGATTAACCATAACAATAATGGCCCATGTCAGTATTCACCAGGTTTTATAAAATAGAATTGGATTTTTCCAACTGTAGCACACATGCTTGACATAGAAAATGTCTACCATGAAAACATAGGGAGGTAAAAACCCAAATCACCAGTAATCACTAATTTATAACAATCAATTAACATGCTAATTGACCATACCTTTGCAACACCAACCAGCCAATCAGGAGTGAGTATGCAAATAAAACAACAAATAGGGTGGGTTAATTTCTATACACTGGCACCTAGCAGCTGTGGGCAGGGTGTGATTGCTTGCATTGTCACCATGGTGACGATGCAGGTGTTCTGCACCACCCCAGTCACTTCGGGCCTCTGGGCAGCATGGGAAGGCAGAAAGGCGGCTGTGGGCCAGAGCAAAGGCACTGTCAGCAGCCAGGGGAAGGAAGGCCCATTCTTGCACAAATTGGGCCTCTAGGCAATAATAAATTAGTAATTTACCAAACATTTCTATTTAGTCCTTCTAGTCTTTTATATAATTGATTTCTCTTTCTCTATGTAGAATAATTTTTATATAATATTCATGTTCTAGATAAAATACTTTCCTATACTTGGAACTCTTATTTTGAAGACATCATTCTTTTAGGGCTTTGTAATAGTTTATCCAATAGGCATACATCATTAATTTAATCATTTTTCTATTACTTGACATTTAAGTTGTTTCTGTCTCTTAATCAGTCTGATTTTCCTAATTATTATCTCAACAGACCTGTAAAACTCCTTTATCAGGAGTTACAACATTTTTTTTTTTGCCTTCACTCTTTTTTTAAAAACTTCTTTATTGTTTAAAGTGTTACATATGTCTCCTTTTTCCCTCATTGACCACTTCCCAGCTACTCCCACCTCCCAGAACAAGCCCTCATCCCTCTACTGTCTGTGTCCATTGGTTATGCTCATATGCATACATACAAGTTATTTGGTTGATCTCTTACCCCCAAACTCTCTGCTTTCCCCTTGAGGTTTGACAATTTATTCAATGCTTCTGTGTCTCTGGCTCTATTTTTGTTCATCAGTTTATGTTCATTATATTCCACAAATGAGTGAGATCATGTGATATTTATCTTTCTCCAATGGGCTTATTTTGCTTAGCATAATGCTCTTCAGGTACATCCATGCTGTTGTAAATGTTAAGAGTTCCTTATTTTTTACAGCAGCATAGTATTCCATTGTGTAGATGTACCACAGTTTTCTAATCCACTCATCTGCTGATGAGCAGTAGGGCTGTTTCTCAATCTTAGCCATTGTAAATTGTGCTGCTATGAACATAGGGGTGCATATATCCTTTCTCACTGGTGTTTCTGATTTCTTGGGATATATTCCTAGAAGTGAGATTACTGAGTCAAATGGGAGTTCAATTTTTAATTTTTTGTAGAAACTCCATACTGTTTTCAATAATGGCTGCACCATCATTTTAATATACATGCTAGACTGTTGAATTAATTCATATAAAGTTTATATCAATTTTCACTTGAATCTGCACTATATGCTTGTTCTCCTCTTATAAACATTGAGGGCTAATTTTTAAAATTTCCTTTGATTACTAGAAAAAGAGAATAAACGTATTTTTCTATTGTTTACTAGCCATCTGTATTATCTTTTTCTTCTCTGAAATACCTGGTCAAACTTATTGCTCTGTATTCTATTAATTCATAGAATCATTTTTATTGGTTTGTGTCAATGTTTATAGGAGAAACATGAGTCTTTACATCATTTTTATTGGTTTGTGTCAATGTTTATAGGAGAAACATGAGTCTTTATCTTATAAATATTTCAAACTTGATTAACCTTCTTGTGAAGTCTACTTGTAAGATTTTTCTTGGGAATACAGATGTTAATAATTATGTAGTCAAGTCGATTGACCTGGTCATTTGTGATTTCCACAGCTGTTTCTGTGTTTTAAAAGTCCTTTTCAATTCAACTTGAATTATGTATTCACCTATGTTTTCATGTTTTTTTTATTATAGTTAAATTAATCATGTAATTAATTGGAACTTACTTTTATGTTTAAAGTGAGAAGATAAATATGTTCCTACCCCACCCCACAAGCAACTACTTTTCCAAGAACAATTTATTGAAAGGAGATGCCTGCCCCAGGAGATGCCTGCCTGCTCATTGGTCCTTAGTGCTGCCACAGGTTGGGAGAGGCTGCTGCTACTGCCGCTGTGCTCGCCAGCCATGAACCTAGCTTCTGGATGAGCAGCACTCCCCTGAGGCAGCACACTGACCACCAGGAGGCAGCTCCTGCATTGAGCGTCTGCCCCTATTGGTCAGTGAGCATCATAGCAATTGGTCATTCTGGCTGTTCTGCCATAATGGTCGTTTAGGTTTTTATTATATAGAGGTCCAGTGCACGAAATTCGTGCACAGAGGGGTTTCCTCAGCCATGCCTGTACCCTGTCCAATCTGGGGCACCTTGGGGGGTGTCCAACTTATGGTTTAGTTGGAATTCCTCTCATAGTCTGGGACTGCTGGCTCCTAACAGCTCATCTGCCTGGCCTGCCTGCCTGCCTGCCAGCCTGATGACCACCTAACTGCTGATCTCACCCCCAACTGCCCTCCCCTGCTGGCTTGATTCCCCATAACTTCCTTCCCCTGCTGACCATCTTGTGGTGATGTGGAGGCAGCCATCTTGTGACAACATGGGTGGCCATCTTGTGATGAAGTGAGGGCATGAGACCGCGAGGGCCACTTAGGCTTTTATTAGTATAGATGGTTTCTGGCTTCTTCCCTAGAAAGGGGTTTTGGTCTCACTGCATGACATTATTGGTTTGTATATCTCTATAGTTTCTGATCATCTATGGTAAGAAAACCAGAGAACTAAGATTTTAAAAGTTACATACACAAATAAGTAAAAATAGAGTACCACGTTTATAGCCAAAAGTAAACCCTCGTGTGTATAATAGGTTAATCTATAATAACAAAAGCATAATATTCAAATTAGACCAGACATCCTTCTGTATGAAGTCAGGCTTGTTAAGGAAGCCCGGTCCCAGGTGACTTCTGGTGGCTAGAGGTAAGTCCAGGTCCTAGATGCCAAAGGGAAGCCCGGTTCCTTGGTGCTGGAGAGAAGCCTGGATCCCAGTGCCAGAGGGAAGCCAGTGCTGGAAGCTGGGGGAAGGAAGGCCTACTCTTGCACAAATTTTGTGCATTGAGCCTCTAGTCTATACTAATAAAAGGGTAAAAGCTAATTAGACCAGGTTGACCAGACATCTGATTTCCTTCCAGACAAAGACACATAGCGGGGGCCAAGGCAGAGGTGGTTAGGGGCAATCAGGCCATCAGGGAAGCAAGAAGTTAGGGGTGATCAGGCCAGTGTGGGGGAGCAAGCAGTTAGAGAACGATCAGGCTGGCAGGGGAGGACAGTAGGGGCAATTGAGCCAGCAGGGGAGGGCATTTGGGGTGATTGGGCTGTCAGGGGAGCAGTTAGGCATTGATCAGGCCAGCAGTGGAGTGGTTATGGGTGATCAGTCTGGTAGGCTAAAGCTGTTAGGGGCAAGCAGGTGGGATTGGGCCTAAATGTTCAGTCGGATATCCCCTGAGGGGACCCAGATTGGAGAGGGTACAGTCTGGGCAGAGGGACACCCCGCAGTGCACAAATTTCATGCATCAGGCCTCTAGTCCTATATAATAAAACCCTAATATGCAAATCAACCAAATAGCAAAAAGACATGTAGAATGACCAGTCACTATGACATGCACTGACCACCAGGGGACAGATGCTCAATGTAGGAGCTGTCCTCAACCAGTCTTGTGAGAAGGATAGAGCGGACATAAATGTGTTATTGATGTTTTTAACAGATCTGTGTAATAACAAATACTACACCTACACAATTCACTTTTGTGAGTATCTTACTTTCCAATCCCATTAGATAAAAAGGCTATGCTGGAGCAGCCTGCCTGATGATGGCCACCAGGGATGCTCACCGGTGTGGGGGCTGGCTGGGTCTGTGGCTCGCATGTATCTGGGCGTGTCTTCTTCTAGTAGCCGGTGAGTAACTAACCCTGTGCAACTCTGCAAGAGAATGGGCTGGGTGTCCGTTTCAATTCCTTCTAAGCGCCTGGCGATTCTTTCTTTTCTGTGTAAAACACACATACACACAAAAAGAGGAAATCAATTCTAAGGGAAAATTGAACATGACTTTGCCAAGTAAGCTCTTCTACTTGCAAATTACATACAATATATCACTTACCTTTTCATTTTTAAAAATTCTTTCCTCCTTGGTTCAAAGGTGTTTCTTAATTCTGTAACTAAAACAAAATAAGAGAATAAAGTAGTCCAGCATTTACCAGTCATCCATTCATTTTACTTCTTCATGCAACGTATATTTATTGAACTCCTATTTCTGCTCATGGCTCCCCATGTGACAGTGACACACAAAACTGACACAGTTCCTGCTTTCCTGGAGGTTGTCTTATAATGAGGCAGGCAGGTACCAAATGAGTGTACACACACACACACACACACACACACACACACACACCCCAACAGGATGGGCTAAGAAGTAAAACCATAAGAGTAAGGGGCAGAGTGACAACAGCAATATGTATTTCATTCAGGGGAGCCAGAGGCGGCCTAACCAGTAAGATCTCCCTAGCGAACAAAAATCTCAGTAACTATTTTTAGTTGTTAGAGTTAGGAAGTATTTTTAACTTTTCATTGACATTTGCAACAGTAGAGATTAATACTATGCCCTACTCTATTCCTGCCCTGCATACCCTTCAGCAAACTACAACAGCCGAGACTCATCACTCCTATTTCACCCTATCATTTAACCCATAAATATCCATAACTATCTAATTGTATTTCCAGTGGTACCAATATAACATGTACATTAACACAGTCTCTCAGCCCCTCCCACAGGCTTTCCCTGGGAGGAAATGTTGACATGTGTTTCCTTGCTATAATTTAGGTGCATGATGGACAAAGTGATTACTGTAAGTTTCTTAGCAACACTGCATGACCCGATGAATGTTCTGTTGTGATGTTAAAAGGATCTCATGTGATACTAACTACAAAGATATTACTAAGATGCCAAATAATTGTTTCTTTGGAAAAATAGCCCAATTTTGTGGAGAATAAAGGTCTCTCTTCTGGCTTCCTCCGCAATCACAGGATTTCATGAGGGCTCATCTGAGTGGTTCCTACAGAGGACTCAGGAAGGGTTAGAGAGAGGGGTCACTGTTAAGATTGTTGGCTTCAAAAGAGTCTCTCTCTCACTTGGCCTTAAGGAAGCAGAGTAGCCAGAGGCAGAGGTATACTTGCCCTGCAATGTGAATTGCGGTCCTATTTAGAAGACAAGGGTATAATGATAATGGGGCATCCACCTTGCTGCCTTGTAGCTAACAATGGCTCCTTAGTTAACAAATTAACTCTAGTGAAATGATATAAGCCAAAGCATATCAATTACTTATTTAAATCTCCAAAGTGGAGGTGGAGCTGTATTTTTTCAAGACTGCTCAAGAAGCTATTGAAGCCAAACTCCAAGTGCTTTTAAAGGTATGCCTTATTCCTATGCCTCAAAACCATACCTGAGTAATAGACATGCACATGCCACTTACCTTTTTTCCCCCAAACCTACTTCAACCATGTTATGGCCTAAAAGTTTATGTCCCTGACCCCCCCATTCATATGTTGAAATCCTGCTCCCCAAAGTGATGGTATTTGGAGATGCAATTTTTTTTTTTTTAATTTTTTACAGAGAGGAAGGGAGAGATATAGAGAGCTAGAAACATCGATGAGAGAGAAACATCGACCAGCTGCCTCTTGCACACCCCCTACTGGGGATGTGCCCACAACCCAGGTACATACCCTTGACTGGAATCGAACCTGGGGCCTTTCAGTCCCCAGACCGATGCTCAGTGGAGATGCAATCTTTGAAAGAGAATAGGCTCTGGCCTCATGATTACAATTAGTGCTTGCACAGAACAGGCCTCACAGAGGTCCCTCTCTCCTTCCACCACAAGGGATACTACAAAAGGGAGGCTGTCTGCAACCCAGAAGAAAGTCCTCATCAGAACCTGACCTTGCTGGCACCCTGATTTGATCTTCCAGCCTCTGGCACAGTGATAAGTAAAATTTTGCTGTTTGTAGGCCACCCAGTTTATGGTATTTTTGTTATAGCAGTTCCAATGCATATGACAAGGTAAGAATAAAATCTACCTATACTAATAAAAGGATAATATGTAAATGATTGGGACATCCTCACGTGTAATCAGCAGGAGGCTGCATGTACAGCAGGCTTGGGTGGGTGGAGACTGGGGGCAGGGCCTGGTGGAGGCCTCTGTAAGCCTGCACTGGGAGTCAGCAGGTCTCCATACAGCCCAGCCCGGAGGTGGGGCCCGGTGGAGGCCTCCGTGAAATGAGGCCTGGGGGTCCCTCTGCTTGGCATGATAAGGCCTGTGGGTCTCACAGCTTCATGCAGCACAGAGGTGTGGGACCCCTGGCTCCAGCCTACCTCTTTGGGGCAATCCATCGAGGAGCACTGGATGGGTAGATGGGACCTACCTCTTTGGGGTGATGGATCATGGAGCTCCTGCTATGTGACAGGACGCAGGCCAGGCTGGTCCTACCTACCTCCACCCATCCCCTGAATGCACAAATTTGGTGCACTGGGCCACTCATATTACTATAACACAGAATGGCATATAACGTCCAATGGGAAAAGTTAAGACATAAGATTTTTGTCCTAATTTAAGACTGTGAAAGTCACTTTTAAGTCATACATTTTTAATTTTTTTCTATAAATATGTAACTGAAGAAAAAAGTAACCTCAGCAGTACGGTGAGAAAGCTTAACAACAAGCTGTTCCCTAACATTTCCCCCCATATTCTAGAAGGAAAGATCTACTAATTGTAGATTATGCTAATGTTCCACCCACAACAAAACTATACCTTTCTTACTGCCATTACCACCCTGTTTCAGTATTCTACAAGGACTAAGATAATGTAAGAAGGGGTCAAGCGAAATGATGGTCAGAATATAGTTCATCACAGAAACTAAAGCCCAAGAAGTCTGGGGCAGTGAGAGGAAAGAGAGGGACAGGGCAGGTAAGCCAAGTTATCCTACTGTCCATCGCTGTGCTTTCTGAACAAAACAAGCTGGGCAACCCAGCAGTGAACACAGTCCCCTGTTAGCCACTCCCTGCCAGGTATACGAAGTCTCAGGGGAGCATTTAGCAGACATAAGGTGCACCGCATCAGGGTCACAGACTCACAGAAGACTGGATCTGGAGTAGATCACAGATCACTGTGGCCTTTGGAATGGGCAATATCTTTGTTGTAAGGCTTGCACTGCAGGATGGTGAGTAGGCATGGCTCTCCTACTAAATGCCAAACCATCTCCAGTTGTTGTGACACCAAAATGTTCCCATGAGTTTGCAAAGCCCCCTTTGAAATGGTACTGTCCTGGGCTGAGAATCATTGAACTCAGCCCAGATATTTCCAAAAGGCAGTCTCTTTCCCGAGTTTATGCCATTGAATATACTAAAGACAGACACCACTAGCCCATCACTGCACTCTTTTCAATCAAACCTGGATTCAAACTCAAAATAATTTCAAACCTAAAATCTTATAGTCCTCTCTGATTATGTACTGAGAAATGCAATGAGATCATAAATCAAACTATATTTTAAATGTATCAATGAGCTTATTGATTTTAGTGAAAATCTACAGTAAGTATATTAAAAAAATTAAAATCCTCCAACAGCCAGAACCAGTTTGGCTCAGTGGATAGAGCATCGGCCTGCGGACTGAAGGGTCCTGGGTTCAATTCCGGTCAAGGGCATGTACCTTGATTGCGGTCACATCCCCAGTAAAGGGTGTGCAGGAGGCCACTGACAGATGTTTCTCTCTCATCGATGTTTCTAACTCTCTATCACTCTCCCTCTCTGTAAAAAATCAATAAAATATATATATTTTTAAATCCTCCAGAAAAAAAAAGATTATCTCTCAATCTGTTCTTTCTTACAAATATATTTTTAATTATCAAGATTTGCCTCATTCTTATAAACATGAGATTAAAGAAGAAAGGAATGGTATGGAAGTAATAGATATCTTGAGTTTGGCTTCCTTTCTCCAAGTCTATAATTTAAAAGTAAAATCAGCCGAGACCGGTTTGGCTCAATGGATAGAGCGTCGGCTTGGGGACTGAAAGGTCCCGGGTTCGATTCCGGTCTTGGTTGCGGGCATATCCCCAGTAGGGGGCGTGCAAGAGGCAGCTGGTCGATGACTCTCTCATCGATGTTTCTAGCTCTCTATCTCTCTCCCTTCCTCTCTGTACAAAATAATAAAATATATTTTAAAAATAAAAATTAAAAAAATAAAAGTAAAATCAGTAAAACAACATGTAATATAATTATTCTAATACATCTATTTCATAGAAAAAAACCTCAGTTTTACAAAATATATTGATGCTTTATTTGAATCAATGATGTGTTCTTTATCATCCCTTTCCAGAAAAACAAACAAACACCTCAAATGGGCACTTGTAGTCCTCCTCAGGTCCTCTCACTAAAATCTGGTTAGGTTTATCACAAACATTGGAAAAAAGCTAATTCTAAGAAATTATAATAGTTCCCCTTGCTATAGAAATCTAATGTTGTCAGCCCACTGTTTCATTTATAGACTAGAGGCCTAGTGCATGAAATTCGTGCATGGGGTGTGACTCTTAGCCCAGCCTGCACCCTCCAATCTGGGACCCCTCGAGGCATTTCCAACTGTCCTGGCTTCCAACTGCTTGTCTGCCTGCCTTCCTGATTGCCCCTAACTGCTTCTGCCTGCCAGCTTGCTCATCCCCTAACCACTACCCTGCTATCCTGGTTGATGCCTAACTGCTCCTCTGCCAGCCTGATCACCCTCCCCTACAGGCCTGGTCACCCCTAACTGCCCTCCCCTGAAGGCCTGGTAACCACTAACTGCTCTCCCCTGAAAGCCTGGGTTCCCCCCAACTGCCCTTACCTGCAGGCCTGGTAGCCCCCAACTTCCCTCCTCTGCCAGCCTGGTCATCCCTAACTGCCCTCCCCTGCAGACTTGATTGCCCATAACTGCCCTCCCTTGCAGGCTTGATCCCTTCCAACTTCCCTGCCCTGCTGGCCATCTTGTGGTAGACATCTTGTGTCTTGGAGTGACGGTCAATTTGCATATTACTCTTTTATTAGACAGGTTATTCCTACAGTTCTCTCACAGTTATCTTCTACCTAA